TTTGCCCATACTATTTAAGAGTTAGAGACTAGGAAGAGTAAATTCACCGCTTTTAGCTGCTGCATTTCATTGGAGTGCTGCTGTCAAGCTTTGGGGGAAAGGCTACCGAATACAAAAGAGGGGAACAGCTGCTGAGGCACAAGTTGGCACAAGGATAATTCCAGAGGGAACTGTTCCCCTCCCTTCCAGCTGGCTGTGCTTAGTGAAACAGGATGGGGGAACAGGTTCAGGATGAAGAATATCCTGTAACCACTGGAATGGGTTAGCTTGACAAAGCTTATACAATATTATAATGACCCCCAATGGCAGCATTGCAAGGAAGATAGTTTATTGAGTGTAGATATTGGAGTCCAGGCTCTGAGAATCTGAAAGGTGCAAGAATCCCAGATCATGGGCCACAGCCCAGATCTGAACAACTACATTACATTTAAACGGCCCCTTAACCTGCGTCCTGGAAGCCTTTCAGCTGACATGGGCCGGCCTCAGGGTTTTTAACTGCAGTGTAGACATACCCCAGGGAGCAAGGAAAGCACTGAAAGTCCAAATGAGGAGTAAACACTCAGTGTTAAAGTGCCCTCCACCCTTATGGCCAAATTACCATGCTTTTCATTTCCTTGTTAAAAATACAGTAAGTGGAGATTCTGCTCCTTAATTGATTAATGTCTCACTTCAAAGCCTGGAACGTTTGTATTAGGATGGTAACATTAACCTAGCTAACCTACGTTTCTTCATTGTTGCTCAATTAAGAACAACATGTGGATATAATGAATCACATTGAGCTATGTTTCAAGATTTGCTTATAAACATGAGGATATCAATTTTTATGTTGCCTTTATTTGCCAAAAAAGAACATTCGAACCCTATGGGATCTGGTTCTCAATATTATAATTAATTTTCCAGGTTTGTAATTAAGCAGCTTCAACATGGTACAATCGGTAGGTAATAACATTCAATTAAAGACAGAAGACACATTTTCACCTTAAAATGTTTTTACCCTTGAAGTGATACCAATGGAAGAGGATAAAATAGAGTATTAACACTTTTCAATTACACTAAATGACTTTAATCCTGCAAATGATGCCCTACTTTAATTAGAAGCTCTTCTCTTTATTACAACATGATGGATGTCCACTTTATTAGATTCAAGCATGACACCATAAGCCCACTTTACATAAACATTACCATGTTATTAAAACCTTCTACAGGAAGGGTTTTTGAATGTTTGCTAGCACATCAGCACTTCATGGTTTAATTTCAAAATGCTATTATATTTTCCTCCTGGAATAATTTTGTTCTGTAGTGAGACCCGCAGTACTGCATTTTGCAAGTATCAGAACCACATATCTGATGGTTAGAACTGAACTACTTTCCATGTCACATAAAAGGATAAATCAAATGGATGAAGAATCAACGTAAACAACGTAACAATTCTACAGTAATGTACTCTTGTAGCTGTACAACCCCAAAGCGCCAGGATACTGATGGTCATGATCCTGTAAGTGGATCGTTGTGCCTGTGCTGTACTCCATTCATTTCCTCGTGGCTCTGGGGGTGCACTTTTGCAAAGGTAGGAGGCTCTACTAACGTAAATCTTCTGCATGACTGATGCCTTAAATAATATGTGCAGCAACAAAGATGTCTTTGGACCTCTGTGTCCTGTCATACCAGCCCACATTCTCATATGAGAAGATGAGCTTTTTTAAAGGATAGCCCATGCTAGTTCTGCAGATTTTCTCCATTCTTATTTCACATTCTTGTTATAAAGGCATGATTACATGGTGCAGAACAGACTCCTTTGACAGAGAGCTGAGGAATGGTGACTAAGCTGATGTGATTTCAGTAAGGTCAGGTGGCAGCAGCTCAGGGTGGGACTAGACAAGCAGCTTCAACAGTCCCAGAAACAGAGCTGCTAAGAACACTGGATTATTAATATTCACTAACCCAAACCAAGATTGAGTTTTGTTGTGGGTGGAATGATGTAAAAAGTAGAGCCCCATGCAGATACAAATGTCTACCTGTGGATGCAGATATCTGTGTATAGATATCAGTATCCACTTATCCACAGAGCTCCACTCTCAAGCGCTCTCTGATCATTTGACAGATGCAAATGGTACCCACAGATGCAGATGCCCATGGATGACCATTGATATCCACTGATCTGTGAGGTTCTACTCCCTTTACGCTGTGGCCAATGGAGAGAAGCATGGTCCCATCATTTCTGGGAGCCAGCATTCCTGGCAAATACTCTCAGCCATGCAGCTGTACCACCCCTAACCCTGCTCCTGCTGCAGCATCTCCTGTATGGAGTCTTACAGTCCTACTGAGGGTAGAGTGAGGGGGGGTATATCCACACAGCTGGGAGGAGCTGCTGGTGCATGTTCCTCTCCAGTGTCTCTTGGGAGTAGAGCCCTGTGGAGATTGATGACACTAAGCTAGGGGGAGAGGTAGATATGCCAGAGGGCAGGGATAGGGTCCAGAGTGACCTGGACAGATATGGGATCGGGCCAAAAGAAATCTGATGAGGTTCAACAAGGACAAGTGCAGAGTCCTGCACTTGGGACAGAAGAATTCCACAGATTATTACAGGCTGGGGACCGAATGGCTAAGTAGCAATTCTGCAGAAAAGGACCTGAGGATTACAGTGGATGAGAAGCTGGATATGAGTCAACAGTGTGCCCTTGTAGCCATGAAGACTAATGGCATATTAGGGTGCAGTAGGAGGATCATTGCCAGCAGATCCAGAGAAGTGATTATTCCCCATTGTTTGGCTCTGGTGAGGCCACATCTGGAATATTGTGTACAGTTCTGGGCCCCCCACTATAGAAAGGATGTGGACACATTGGAGAGGGGCCAGCAGAGGGTGGCCAAAATGCTTAGGGGGCTGGAGCACATGACCTATGAGGAGAGACTGAGGGATCTGGGTTTGTTTAATCTGCAAAAGAGAAGAGCGAGGGGGGATTTGATAGCAGCCTTCAACTTCTTGAAGGGAGGTTCCAAAGATAATGGAGAAAGGCTGTTCATAGTAGTGATGGATTGCAGAACAAGGAGCAATGATCTCAATTTACAGTGGGAGAGGTCTAGGGCGGATATTAGGAAAAACTATTTCACTAGAGGGGTGGTGAAGCACTGGAATGGGTTACCTAGGGAGGGGGTGGAATCTCCATCCCTAGAGGGGTTTAAGTCTTAGCTTGAAAAAGCCCTGGCTGGGTTGCCTTGGGGAGGCTGGATTTGATAACCTCCTGAGGTCTCTTCCAACTCTATGATTCTATGATGTCTATGATGTCTATCCATGGATATCAATGCCTATCCATGGATAGCCATATCTGCAGATAGACATTTGTATCCATGCAGGGCTCTAGTGATCAGAAAACTCTTGCCTAGGGCTACTGGGAATTCACTAAGACTGGTGGAAGGGATTTAAATGGATTACTGCAGATTACCTGATTGCTTTAATCTTTCTTTGACTATTACTGGGTTGCAACATTTTCCAAGAGTCTACATCCCCATAAAAAGATCCCTTATTTTGCATAAAAACTCTGACATTGGTGGTAGCGTGTAGGACATGTGTAGCTATATGCTGCAGTGAAAAACAGGCTGCATCCACACTACATTGTGTAGCTAGCTTCTCTGTTGCGGAGAAATGTTCCAGCAACGGTTAGGTGGGGAGACAGTGCAGATTGGGGAGGAGTTGCTTGAGCGTGAAGAAAATTGTGTAGGGTACATACCTGCTATGGTTCTGGTGCTTCTTTACTTTTCTAAGCCATGTCTTGCTGTCTACATTACTATTCATACCCATGCTAGGTGGGAGCGCAGTGTTGGTACTTTGCACACTATCATACTTGTACACATTACCTGAGTGCTTCAGGGGAGGAGTTAATTTCTATCTGCGTAGGGCAACTGGAAGAAGATTTATTTATTTCTACCAGAATTCTAGGTAGAGGCTAAATTCAATATTTTATTCTCCAAGAGGGATTCTCAACATATTGAATCTGTCCCTACTAACTTTCATTAAGCACCTGGCAGAAGGGTTACCTATGAAAATATATCTCATTTGGCTCCAGGAAAAAAAATTACATCAATATCTGGGGCTACCGTCTCTATTTAGATTGGGGCCCTTTGCAACTGTCCACAGATGGGCAGCAGAGAAGTTCACCAGTGGTAGGACACTCCTTAGTTTCTCCCGCCCTTAGTAGAACTCAGGTGCAGGAGAGAATAAGGGCCTCTGTTTGTGTCAGCTAAATGTTACACAACATGAGGAAAATCATCCAGACAACAAGACAGCATATCTTCTGCAATAACTAGTCTTGGCCAAACAACAACATTGTAAACCCATGTAAAGATTTATCTGTGCGAGCATCACATTCAAATCTAAAGCTAAGGGAATCAGTATTGGCCCAGAGCAGCCAACATGGTGTCCAAAATTCACTATTTCTGGAGGAAATTTTTCCAAAATGGGCTTCAGAAACTGTGCATGCCAGCTTTATGAAGGCAAATAGCAATACATTTAAAACCTGCATTTGCATGTATTTTCACGCATGTCAATGCAAATCAGGCAGTTAGATCTATAGCTACCTGATAATGATTACACAGGTGTCCTGTTGCAATTACTGTTCCTGATTGGCTAGGTACTGTGTACAATCTCTTATTTTTGTATCCTTTGTTCCATATCACATTTATCCCATCCACCTATAGTCTTGTTTTCCAGACTGAAAACTTTTTGGGGAGTACAGATTGGGATTTTCTATATGTCTGTACAACAGTTGGCACAATGGGACCTTAACCTGGTTGCCCTCCAGATGCTTCACAGTACAGTATAACCTGCATCATATTCAATAACATTATTAAAGGACATTTATGGAATATAACGAAGCAGAAAATATCTCTTTATAAGGGGTACAGAACACGTGAAAGGCAGTAAATTAATGAGGTGCCTTAAAACCATTGAGTAACACCTAATTTCAAAAAAAGATGCAAGCATTCAGATGAAAGGTTTGACTCACCTGGCTGCCTTCCTTTTGCCAAAAAACAGCAGGCTGGGGATTTCCTTTAGTTTCACAGGGAAAGGTCACTGTTCGACCCTGAGCTACAATTTGGTCTCGTGGTCTTATCACAAACTGTGGGGGAGCTACAGTGTAAGAAAAAAACATGATATAAAATTAAGAGAGATTTCACAATGAGGGAATGAATAATATCAAAGGGGAAATCTAGCATTATGTAGATGCATTTTCATGCCAGAGGACATTCATTAATTAATGTATACACAATTAGGAAATACCAAAGGGGGGGGGGAGACAAAAAAGAACACATCTCCATGTAAGATCTCCATCAGCTGTAAAAAAAAGTGTTACTTTCATACATATTTGTTTAAGCTCTGATGTTAACAAAAGCTGAGGAACAACAATCAGCTCTTTATGGTGCAGAAGCTGATTATGTTTTAACGTTATCTTCAAGCCTCCCCTGAACTAGTAGTGATACTCCAATAACAGCTACACTTTAGAGAGTTCACTGTTATACCTTACATATAGAGACCACTGTGCTTTCCTATGGTGTGCCCCAGGGTATGAAACTGGCCTGTCCCCAATATCCTTTTCAGTCCATCTCATCACACTTTTAATAATGTATGAGAAAGGAGTGGGAGGGAGGGATCTAGAAGTCACAAAGGCAGGAGAGGAAAAGTCCAATGCCTCCCCTAGGGTCCTTTAGGGATGAGTGGAAGCAGAATATGTGTGGGAAGGGGTGTAGTATGAGATATTGTCCAGGTTTCAATGAGTGCAAGGAGGTGAAGGCAGCAGGAGCTAAACATTTATGGATGTCAGTGATCTATATTGAGAAGTAGCAGGCATCCTATATAGAACAGGAAGAGGAGAGAGGAGAGAAAATGGGGACAGAAGGAAGGGACAAGCCTGACAAGGGGACATTTGTGATGTCAAAGAGACATGAGAGTAGGAGGAAGGTGGAAGGAATGCAGCAGTTCATGAGGAAGGAGAAACGTGCAAGACCAAGACCAGGAAAAAAGTTGCCAGAAGTAAGTAGTTAAAGAAAACAGAATGGACTATGAATTGACATGGGGAAAGGGGAGCATAAGAAGAGGAGAAAGGACTTCTGAGAGAAACAGTGGGGAAACAAGTGAAAGGGAGATGTGAAGTAATGAAGTCAGAATGGAGGAGGATGGAACCAAGGTAGCTGAATTTAGGATAATTTGGGGCAGTAAATGAAGAGACACAATTAAAATGCATGATGTGCAAATTCTCCCCCCTTAGATAATAATCTTTCCTGGTGTTCTTTAGGAGTTTTATGATCGTGCTCACAGTATTTTACATTTCCAAAAGATCTCTTCCATAAGAACATAAGAACGGTCATGCTGGGTCAGACCAAATGCCACAGAGGGAGTGAACAGAACAGGGAATCATCAAGTAATCCCTCCCCTATCACCCATTCCCAGCCTCTGACAGAGGCTAGGGACACCATTCCTACCTATCCTGGCTAATAGCTATTGATGGACCTAACCTCCATGAATTTATCTCGTTTTTCTTGAACCCTGTAAAAGTCCAGGTCTTTACAACCTCCTTATAAAGTAATGGAGCAAGAAGTTTCACAGGCTGATTTAAAGATAAACTTTCTTTTGTTTGTTTTAAACCTGATACTAATTAATTTCATTTGGTGACCCCTAGTTCTTATGTTATGGGAACAAGTAAATATATTTTCCTTATTCACTTTTTCCACCCCAGTTATGATTTTATAGATCTCTACCATATTCCCCTTTAGGGTGCTTCTGCACAGCACCCTAAACTTGAAATAAGAGATGCAATTTGTGCCATGCAAATTGTGTATCTCATCTTGAATGTATTTTGAAATAGCTTATTTTGAAATTTGGCGCATCTTCACAGAGCCAAATTTTGAAATAACGTGCTATTTCGAGCCATCCCTTATCCGTCGTACAACAAGGTATACCAGGATGGAGAAATAGAGCACCCATTATTTTGAAAAATATTTTGAAATAATGGGCAGCTTGTGTAGATGTGGGATAGCTCTTTTGGGATACTGGAGGTATCCAGAAATAGCTGTGCAGTGTAGACGTACCCTTAGTTTCCTCTTTTCTAAGCTGAAAAGTTCCCCTCTTTTTAATTTCTCTACATATGGGACTCATTCCAAACCCTTAATCATTTTGTTGTCCTTTTCTGAACCTTTTCCAATATCAATATATCTTTTTTGAGATGAGGTGACCATATCTGTATGCAGTATTCAAGATGTGGGCGTACCAGGATTTTATATAGAGGCATAAGATATTCTCTATCCCTCTTTAAATGATTCCTAATATTCTGTTTGCTTTTTGGACGTCCGCTGCACATTTAGTGGATGTTTTCAGGGAACGATCCATGTAGAGTAGATATAGTTAAATTAGTCCCCATCATATTATATGCATAGCTGGGATTATTTTCCCAATATTCATTACTTTAAATTTATTAATGTTAAATTTCATTTACCATTTTGTTGTCAATTACCTAGTCTTGTGAGATCCTATTTAAGCTCTTCACAGTCTGCTTTGGTCTTAATTATACTGAGTTGTTTAGTATCATCTGCAAATTTTGTTGCCTCACTGTTTACCCCTTTCTCCAGATCATTTATAAATAAGTTTGAGTAGGATTGGTCCCAGTACAGACCTTAGGGGACATCACTAGTTACCTCTCTCCATTCTGAAAACTTATCATTTATTCCTACCCTTTGTTTCCTGTCTTTTAGGGCATGTCTAGACTACGTTTTTCTTTCAAAATAAGATATGCAAATTTGGGGTGAATTTGCATATCTTCTTCCAATCGCTTTTTCGAAAGAGGTTTTGTCAAAAAAGCAAGTAGTCTAGATGTGGTTCTTTTTTAAAAAAACACCCTTTTTTGAAAGAATGCTATAAATCTCATTTTTTTGAGGAAGAAGGGTTCTTTCAAAAAAGGATTTGGGTTTTTTTGAAAGAGCCACGTCTAGACTGCTTGCTTTTTAGATGCAAATTTGGGGTGAATTTGCATATCTTCTTCCAATCGCTTTTTCGAAAGAGGTTTTGTCAAAAAAGCAAGTAGTCTAGATGTGGTTCTTTTTTAAAAAAACACCCTTTTTTGAAAGAATGCTATAAATCTCATTTTTTTGAGGAAGAAGGGTTCTTTCAAAAAAGGATTTGGGTTTTTTTGAAAGAGCCACGTCTAGACTGCTTGCTTTTTAGAAAAAAACCTCTTTTGAAAAAGCGATCAGAAGAAGATATGCAAATTCGCACCGAATATGCATATCTTCTTTTGAAAGAAAAATGTAGTCTAGACGTGCCCTTAGCCAGTTATCAGTCCATGAAAGGACCTTCCCTCTTATCCCATGAAACTTATTTTACTTAAGAGTCTTTGATGAGGAACCTTGTCAAAAGTTTTCTGGAAATCTATGTATGGTATATCTACTGGATCCCTCTTATCCACGTTTGTTAACCCCCTCAAAGAATTCTAGTAGTCATGATTTCCCTTTACAGAAACCATGTTTACTTTTCCCCAACAAATTATGTTCAATTTTATTCTTTACTATAGTTTCAACTAATTTGCTAGGTACTTATGTTAGACTTACCGGTCTGTAATTGCCAGGATCACCTCTAAAGCCCTTTTTAAATATTGGCATCACATTAGCTATCTTCCGGTCATTAGGTACAGAAGCTGATTTAAAGGATAGATTACAAACCACAGTTAATAGTTCCGCAACTTCACATTTGGGTTTTTTCAGAACTCTTGAGTGAATGCCATCTGGTCCCGGTGACTTGTTACTGTTAAGTTTATCAATCTGTTCCAAAATCTCCTCTAATGATACCTCAGTCTGGGACAATTGCTCAGATTTGTCACCTAAAAATAATGGCTCTGGTTTAGGAATCTTCCTAACATCCTCAGCCATGAAGACCTTAGCAAAGAATTCATTTAGTTTCTCCACAATGACCTTATTGTCTTTGAGTGCTTCTTTGGCATCTCAATCATTCAGGGGCCCCACTGGTTGTTTAGCAGGCTTTCTGCTTCTGATGTAGTTAAAAAACATTTTACTATTACTTTTTGAGTTTTTGGCTAGCTGTTCTTATACCTTTGGGGTTTTTTCTTATGATATTTTTACATTTAATTTGACAGAGTTTATGTTCTTTTCTATTTTCCTCACTAGGATTTAACTTCCATTTTTTAAACAATGCCTTTTTATCTTTCACTGGTTCTTTTACTCGGTACTTTTTTGGTTCTCTTGCTGTGTTTTTTAATTTAGGGTATGCATTGAAGTTGAGCCTCTATTATGCTGTCTTTGAAAACTTTGCATACAGCTTGCAGGGATTTCACTTTTGTCACTGTACCTTTTAATTTCTGTTTAATTAACTTCATTTTTGTGTAGTTTCCCTTTCTGAAATTAAATACCACAGTGTTAGGCTGCTGAGGTGTTTTTCCCACCACAGGGATATTAAATGTTATTTCATTATGGTCACTATTTCCAAGTTGTCCTGTTATATTTACTCCTTGATCCAGATCTTGCACTCCACTTAGGATTATATCAAGAATTACCTCTTCCCTTGTGAGTTCCAGAACCAGCTGCTCCAAGAAATAGTCATTTAAGGTATCAAGAAATTTTATTTCTGCATCCTGTCTTGAGGTGACGTGTACCTAGTCAACATGGGGATAGTTGAAATCCACCACTATAATTGAGGTTTTTATTTTGATAGCCTCTCTAATCTCCCTTAGCATTTCAGAGTCACTATCACTATCCTGGTCAGGTGGTTGATAATATATCCCTACTGCTACATTTGTATTATTAGAGGGTGGAATTACTACCCACAGAGATTCTGTGGAACATTTCGGTTCATTTAAGATTTTTACTTCATTTGATTCTACATTTTCTTTCATATGTATAGTGCCACTCCCCCACCAGCACGACCTGTTCTGTCCTTCTGATATATTCTGTGCCCTGGTTTGACTGTGTCCCATTGATTGTCCTCATTCCACCAAGTTTCTGTGATGCCTATTATATCAATATTCTCCTTTCATACAAGGCACTTTTGTTCATTCATCTTATTATTTAGACTTCTAGTGTTTGTGTATAAGCACTTTAAAAATTAGTCTGTTCGCCATCTCCCAAAGG